TGCGCCGGGCCCAGCGCCCCCGGCGGGCCTGAGTGTCCCAGCGCACAGCTTCCCCTCGGGCCGGCCCGGCGGGTGCCAGGGTTAGCCCCCAGGTACCTCACAAGTGTGCGAGTCTGTGGAGGCCTGGCCTCCCTCTGATCCCTTGAAGATTTGAAAGAACGTGGACTCAAGTCACAGGCTGGGACAGAGAGATGTGCATCTCGATGATCTGACTTTCATTAAACTACGGTCAAGACAGGTAGATGGACAAATGCTTGGGTTAAGGAGGAATCAGTAACCCAACCTGCAAATTGAAGCCACCTGGGGAGTTCCCTTAGAGATCAGGGTTAACAAAAGGGCAAATAGGGTTTGAGAGGCTTTTAAAGATCCCCAGGTTCCAATAAGCAGGTACATGTTGGAACCACAGAGCAAAGGCCTTAATATGAATCACTGCTGAACATTCCACGCACATGGCCTCATTGAGTCTCTAGGAGGGCCCAACTGCTCTGTGTCCCTTTTACAGAGGAGGAAACAAGGCATAATGTTGAAGTGCCCTGTGCAAGGTTGCACGCCTAGTGACAGAGCTGCCTAAGGTCCTTGCACAGAAGTACAGAGTTGAAGAATATCCAGCCTGAAACATATCTTCTCTTTTTTAGTACTGTCCTTGTTGGCCGAGATTAGCATGAAAATGTAGTGAAGTGTGTGGAATGTCAGAACATATTGGTTCCATGGGATGTAAACTCCATGAAAGCAAACTCCTTACTTTTTCTTTATTGATTAAGGTATTATATATGTGTCCTTATCCCCTCGTTACCTCCACCCACCTCATACTCTCATCCCCCTGGTGTCTGTGTCATTGGTTAGGCTTCTATGCATGCATACAAGTCCTTGGGTTGATCTCTCCCCTTTACCTCCCACCCTCCCCTACCTCCCCTCTGAGGTTTGATGGTCTGATCGATGCTTCTCTGTCTCTGGCCTTATTTTTTTTTTGTTTCAGGTTGTATTCCCACCGCCTGGAATATAGCAGAGGCCTAATAAATATGTAATGAATGAACTACTGATTAAATTAATGTGAATTGAAGTATGTATAATTAAATATTTGCTAATTCATATTTACCCATCTGCACCCAGCAATAGTTAATATAAAGTTCATAAAAAGGGAATCTTTTAAGCACTGAAAATATTGGGTTATAATATTCCGATTTGTTATTTTTTCCCCATTTTTCCCAATTAAGATTAAAGCATACACAGCAATGTAGAAGGAAACAAAATTAACACCTAGAAATTGATGGCTTTTTTTATACACCAATAATGAACTCTCAGAGAGAAACTAAAAAAGCAATCCCATTACCATTGCAACAAAAAATTAAGATGCTTAGGAATAAACTTAACCAAGGAGGTAAAAGAACTGTACTCTGAAAACTACAGGGCATTGAAAAAGATTGAGGAAGATTTAAATAAGTGGAAAAATATACCGTGTTCATGGATTGGTAGAATCAATATCATTAAAATGTCCATACTACCCAAAGCAATCTATAGATCCAATGCAATCCCCAATAAAATACCAATGGCATATTTCACAGACCTAGAACAAACTCTCCAAAAATTCACATGCAATAAAAAAAAAAAAG